GCAAGTAGGGTCGTCTCCTCAGGGAACAGGTAGGCAAATCACACAGGAAAATGGGGGGAAATTTTTAGCAATAGTACCAACTAATTAAAAAGGAATAAAAACGGAAATTCAAAGTTGAGTAAGATAGCAGGAACCAAATTACACAAATAACAATTAATTAAAACAACCTAGTCAAGGAATTAATCTTGGCATCGAAGCACACAACTGATCACAGATATAAGGGACAATTCATATACTCACGAATAAACTGGTTATAGTGGTCAAGCGACGCGCCCAACCACCAATCTTTCCTTAATTTTATGGTAGTCAAAAGACGCTCATAAACTACCCTCTTGTGACTAGACAACCCCAGAAACGCTCACAGGATTTAATGTAGCCACAGCATTAGGAATTAGAAAGACCCAATTCTAGATGACAAACACACATGCGGATTTATTTAGGCTAGATTAATTATCCCCACGATCCAAATTAGACTGCTTGCGAGGCGGTGCAATTGTCTCGTTTGCCACTAATCAAGATGCTTAAAGACGACGCGCCAACATCCTAATTGGCTATCAATTATTTAAACAATCGAATAACAGGCCTAATTATCCAATAAATCTAAACAAAAATAACTCAGGAAAAAATAGAGAATAATCAAATACCCATGAACATATAAATTAAAAATAAACAATTAAAATGATCTCACAGTTATGGTGCCCCGATTCTTGATTTATTCCTCAACTAGATAAAAGAAATTAGCCTTGCCACATAACGATGAAGCAATTCGGAGTTTTCATGGAGTTTTTGCTGAATGAAAAACGCAGTGAAAAGTTGTGCGGCCGCTCAGCCACAGGAAGGATAAAGCAAAAGCAGAGAAAAAAAAATCCAAGACGAAGATCCATCCCTAGTCTATTGCTGTCTTCTTTTTATTGTTTGCGCCGCCGTTTCCTTTTTGCTAGCCGAAAGAATAGGTGGGTTTCTTCAAACAATTTGCTTCCTTTTCCCCCATTGGATTGTTACCAAAAGTCATCTTCCAATTCTATTTTCTAATCCCACGTAAGTTTAAAGTATGGCTCCAAGGAAAGGCGGTGGCCCCAGGAATAGGACCCGCAATCCGGCTTTTTCACGCAACTCTGCGTTGTCTGGCGTGGGCAAGCCAGAGAAGGCACAATCTTCTGGAATTTGCCCTTTTTCATCACTTTTAACACCAATTGCCTATAAGTAACACAAATACCCATTATGAGCAGAAATTCAATACTTTACATAATAAACTGCCAAAATTAAGACCAAATAACCACAAATAAAATGCATAATTATATCCCTATCAAATTCTCCCATACCAAGACAATGCTTGTCTTCAAGCATTTCAAACTTTAAATACACAACCCAGCGAGCAAACATTTTTGTAGCAGTTGAATTCAAAACAATGGCTATTAATCAAAGCAACTATTGCCAATGTATGATTTAGATAACTGTCAAGTACTGATGACAAATTTTACGAGATAACTCTCCAACTAGCTTTTAAAACCAATGACTCTTTCAAATCCAGACTAACTAATCTAAGAATAGAAAATATCCAACCAACATTCTTTAATAACTGGTCTAACTATTAAGCAAAATCTCAACATAAAGACTCATGGATCCGCAGGCAATACAATTATTCACATACTTTCATGCTCGTATACTTTTTTTTTTTCATCATTTTCATTTTTTTTCTGTTTCTTTTTCCTCTTTTTTTTTTGGAAGGAAGTGCTAAGTCTTGAGCCATTCAAGTCTTTTGATGCGAACTCCGACATCTCTCCAATGAAGGAGCTCGGTTACTCAACTTTAACCACTTAAAGACCACATACTCATAGTTATCGCTGCTTTTTGACGCGAAAATCGACACTTTAGGTGAAGACCCCCGGTTACTAGTCAATGATAACTAGCGGAGTATAGCCGAATGTTATTCACAAATAAACACCCAAGTAAAATTAAAACCATGCAAGCCTGCTTCATTTCCTTAACATGGAGAACTAAGATTAATAGTTGAACCAGTTCACACAAAAAAATATCAGAAAAATATTTACAATGCCTAGAAAAGTTAACCAAAAGAAATTGCAAGAGTCACAAAATCTCAAATATTTACCAGAGAGACATCCTAAAATTTTACCATATCATACTTAACATATTATCATCTAAAATCGTAACAATAGTTAAATTTGAAAATCTAGCCACTGCTTATCAGGCTAACCATAAAAATCCAAAAGGCATGGTAATTTAATTTTTTTTTTTTGGAAAGAAGGAAAAGCAGTAAGAAGGAAAAGCTAGACTACTCCCCCCACACCTAAAGTCTACATTGTCCTCAATGTAAGCACGAAAAGTTGAAGTCAAGTGAAGGGAGCAAAAAAAAAAAACTTTCCTGAATGAATAAAAACTGCAGCAAAACACCATGGTAGAGGAGGTGTTTGGGATTGGCAGCGTGGAGTCTCCGACGGTGGTGTGGTGTAGCGTTGCCTCAAATGGAAGCGGAAGTCTTCAATCCAAGCTTGTATCCCCAGAGTGGACTAGCGTTGCTGTAAGGCGTGACCACGCCTTATAAGGCAGAGTCCTCTGCCCAAGCATTTCTACGGTGTTCAAGAGCATCACTTATAGGGCGTGGGCATGCCTTGTAAATCCAAGTCTCCTGCCCAACACCAAAAAAATGAAAAAAAAACACTGGCAATGAAACAAAACAACCCAAAATCAACGAAAAACGAAAGAGAACTATAACAAAAATGGAGGCCTTGGGTTGCCTCCCAAGAAGCACCTTTCTTTAACGTCTTTGGCTAGACGACTCCACAGTGAGCAATTAGGCATAGATAGGATATATCAAGTGTACCTCTTCCACAGTGCCAATGTCTAAAACATCAACAAATGGTTTTAAACGATGACCATTAACTGTAAAACTCTTTTTAGTCTCTAAACTCTGGATTTCAACCACACCATTGGGAAAAACATTGACTACCACATATGGTCCAATCCAACGAGATTTTAACTTACCTGGCATGAATTTCAACCTTGAATTGAACAAGAGTACCTTTTGTCCTGGAGAAAAGTGTTTCGCACGCAATAGACGGTCATGAAACTGCTTGGTACGCTCTTTGTATAAACGTGCATTGTCATATGCTTCAAGACGAATTTCCTCCAACTCCTGGAGTTGGAGCTTTCTCTCTTTGCCATCTCTATTCGCATGCAAATTGCATTGTTTGACTGCCCAGAATGCACGATGATCAATAGCCACAGGTAAGTGACACATCTTACCAAACACCAACCTATATGGGGACATTCCAATGGGCGTTTTATACGCCGTTCGATATACCCGCAAAGCATCATCCAATCGCAAGCTCCAATCCTTACGGTTGGGGTTAACCGTTTTCTCCAATATGCTCTTGATCTCTCGATTGGAGACTTCAGCTTGCCCATTGGTCTGAGGATGATATGTTGTACTCACACGATGGTGCACTCCATATTTTCTCATGAGAGTTGCAATGGTGCGATTGCAGAAATGGGTACCTTGATCACTGATGATGGCTCTCGGCACCCCGAACCTACTAAAAATGTGGGATTTAAGAAATCCTACAACAACTTGAGAATCATTAGTTCGGGTAGCTTTTGCTTCTACCCATTTCGATACATAGTCAACTGCTAACAGAATATACAAAAATCCAAAAGAGCTAGGAAAAGGTCCCATAAAGTCCATACCCCAAACATCAAATACTTCACAAAATAACATAGGCACTTGAGGCATTTCATTCCTATGAGACAAACTTCCAAATTTTTGATATTTTTCACAGTTTTTACAAAATGCATAAGTATCACGAAACAATGTTTCCCAATAAAAGCCACAATCAAGGATTTTTCTAGCAGTTCTCTTAGATCCAAAATGACCACCACATGCAAAATTATGACAATGAGCAAGGATAGAAGGAATTTCACTTTCAAGTACACATCTACGAATAATTTGATCAGAGCCTATTTTTCACAGATATGGCTCGTCCCAAATGTAGTATCGAGTATCATGGACTATCTTATCCCTCTTACTCTTACTCATGCCAATAGGAAATTTATGACTGACCAAAAAGTTCACAATATCTGTATACCAAGGTTCCTTACCTTTGAGATAGAAAAGATGTTCATCAAGAAATACCTCAGATATGGGAACTGCTTCCTCTTCCCTTATCAATCTACTCAAATGGTCAGCTACTGAATTATCCACCCCTCTCCGATCCTTAATCTCCCAGTCAAATTCTTGCAGTAAGAGCACCCAACGAATGAGTCTTGGCTTGGACTCTTTTTTTGACAGGAGATACTTCAAAGCTGCATGATCAGAGTAAACCGTTACTTTTGATCCCAATAGATATGATCTAAATTTTTCAAAAGCGAAAACAATAGCTAGAAGCTCTTTCTCCGTGGTGGTGTAGTTGCACTGAGCTGGTGTCAATGTTTTTGATGCATAGTATATCACGTGACTACACTTCCCACTCCGTTGTCTAAGCACAGCTCCAACGGCATATTGACTGGCGTCACACATGAGCTCAAAGGATAGCTTCCAGTCTGGGGGTTGGATGATTGGTGCCGTGGTCAACATACCCTTGAGTGTGTCAAAGGACAATTTGCAATCATCTCCAAAGTTGAATGGCACTTCCTTTTGAAGCAGGCGAGACAACGGTTGAACAATTTTTGAAAAATCTTTTATGAAATGCCTGTAAAAACCTGCATGGCCTAGAAAACTACGAATATCCTTGACATTAGCAGGGTAAGGTAGACTAGTGATCAAATCAATTTTAGCCTTATCTACCTCAATACCCCTTGATGAAACAACATGGCCCAAAACTATGCCTTCCTTAATCATGAAATGACATTTTTCATAATTAAGAACTAAGTTTGTTTCAATGCATCTTTTCAAAACTTTTGTTAAATGGTCTAGGCACTGATCAAAAGAATCACCATATACTGTAAAATCATCCATGAAAATTTCAATGCAATTATCAATCATATCAGAGAAAAAACTTCCTAAAGTCAATGCACATTCTCCACCCATTTTGCAATCTCATTGGCGCTAACTCATTCTTTTCATTTTTCACCAATGTGATTCCAGTCTTCTTGGGAACAGCATGGACTGGACTTACCCACTGGCTGTCAGAGATAGGAAAAATAATTCCTAATTCTAAGAGTTTGAGAATCTCTTTCATCACCATCTCCTTTATTGCGGGATTGAGCTTGCGTTGATGCTCTCTCACGGGTTTTGCGTCCGATTCCAAAAGAATGTGATGCATGCAAATGGATGGATTGATGCCTTTGATATCTGCTAACGTCCATCCAATTGCTGGTTTAAATTCCTGTAAGACCCGTAAGAGCCTCTCTGCTTGCAACGCAGTTAAATCATTGGCAATGATTACAGGCAAAGTCTTGTTATCTCCCAAGTAAGCATATTTCAAATGCTCGGGCAGTTCCTTCAATTCCACATTAGGTGCCTGTTGAACAGAAGGTAGAATTCTTTCATTAGAAGTGGGTAATGGTAGAAAAGAATTTTCAAACCTGCCTGGAAGCGGATGTAGTGAATGTAAGGACATGATAGCTTCTTTGACTTCTTCCTCCTCTATGTCGTCCACTTTCAAATTGGTCTTGCCTTGTTGTAAGACAAAGTCCAACTTGTCCCCCATGAAATTCTGTTCAAAATTCTCTTGCACAATGGTGTTAGTCATGCCAACAAAATTTACAGACTCAGTATCCATAGGATGCTTCATTGCATCAAAAATATTGAAAGTGACATTCTCTTCATCAAATTCCACAGATAAAGTTCCTTCATGTACATCTATTTTAGTCCTTGCTGTACTCATGAAGGGTCTACCCAAAAGAATCACTGCTAAATTAGTAGAGTATTCATCATTCATATCAACAATGTAAAAATCCACAGGAAAAATGAATTCATTAACCTTTACTAGAACATCTTCAACTAGGCCCTCAGGGTAGACATTAGACCTATCTGCTAGTTGAATGATTACCCTAGTTTCTTTGAGGGGTCCTAAATTCAAAACTTTGAAAATTGAAAGAGGCATGACATTTATTGAAGGACCTAAGTCAAGCATGCTCTTTTCAATTCTTTGATTGCCAATTATGCATGGTATAGTAAACATACCTGGATCTTTGCATTTCTGGGGCAACTTCCTTTGAAACATCGCTGAGACATTCTCCCCCACCTTCACCTTGTCATCCAGACTCAATTTATTGCGATTAGTGCATAAGCCCTTCAAAAATTTAGCATATTTAGGCAATTGCCTAATAGCATCCAGCAGAGGAATATTGATCTCCACTTTCCTGAAGGTGTCCAAAATCTCTTTCTCAGATTCTTCCTTTTTAGCTTTTGTAAACCTGCTAGGAAAAAGAGGAGAAATGTCAACTTTCTTTGAGATTTCAGAGGATTGTTTCTGTTCTTCCTCTTCCACCTTTCTGGGCACTTCTTCTCTGGCGTGGGCACGCCTAGGAGACTGTACCTCCTTGCCACTCCGTAATTGCATTGCACTGGCATTCTCCTTGGGATTTGGAATTACTTGAGATGGTAATTTCCCTCTATTGCTATTTTTCAGGTTGCTCATGGAAGTTGCCAATTGGAACATTTGTGTTTCCAATTCCTAATGCTAGCACGAGTCTCTTGTTGAAATCTGTGAGATTCCTGTTGAGATCTTTGAGTCTCTTGCTGTAATTGACTCGTGCTTTGGGTTAGTGACTTCACCATATCTTCAAAAGACATGTTTGAATTGGAAGTGGATGGTTGTTGCGCTGGTGGCCGTGGTTGGAAATGTTGTTGAAAACCAGGGGGTTTTGAAGCATAACTAAAATTAGGATGATTTCGCCACCCGGGGTTGTAATTGGGTGCAAAAGGATCATTCCTTCGTGGAGGTGGTCCAGAAAAATCTCCCACTATGTTGGCTTGTTCAGCTGAATCCTCCTGGAGAGTTGGGCACATGTCAGTCATGTGTCCGGGAGCAGCACAGATACCACAAGTCTTCACAGATTGTAATTGCCCCCTTGCCATTTGACGCACCAGAGAGGTAAGCTCAAATAGTTTACCCTCTAAATCAGAGTGATTCACTTCATTGACCCTTCTTATTGCTCCATCAGCTCTCACTCCAAATTGTTGGGAATTTTCAGCCATGGTGGAGATCAATAACGTGGCTTCGTCTGTGGTCTTGTTCACCAGAGCGCCGCCACTGGCTGCATCTAACATGCTCCTATCCATGGGTGATAATCCCCCGTAGAAATATTGTATTAAGAGCTGGTCCGGAATTTGATGATGTGGGCAACTGGCACACAGTTGTTTAAAGCGCTCCCAGTACTCATATAGAGTTTCCCCATTCGCCTGCCTAATTCCACATATTTCTTTCCTTATATTGGCGGCTCTAGAGGCAGGGAAAAATTTCTCGAGGAATCTTCTCTTCAATTCTTCCCACGTAGTGATGGATCCTGATGGCAGGTAAAATAACCAATCTTTAGCCTTATCTGCCAAAGAGAAAGGGAAGGCTCTTAACTTGATGTGATTCTCAGTGACTCTTTGAGGTCTCATTGTGAAGCACACCACATGAAATTCTTTCAAGTGTTTATGTGGGTCTTCACCTGCGATACCACGAAAAGTAGGAAGTAAGTGAATAAGACCAGACTTAAGCTCAAATGCCTCTTCTGTATTAGGAAATGTAATGCATAATGGCTGTTGGTTCACCTTAGGGGTTGCCAACTCCCTCAAAGTTTTTGGGGCTGCCATTGCTACTCGGGGGATATGCACTTCTTCTTCTTCAGATTCACTTGATGAATCACTGGAAATAAACTCTTGCTCAGATTCTGAAGGTGACGTTGAATCTTGTTGCTTACGCAACTTTGCCTCCTTGGTCAACCTTCTTGCAGTCTTCTCGATCTCTGGATCAAATTCTAATTCTCCTGTATGAGAAGATCGAGGCATAAAATAAAAATAAAAGCTAAAGCCTGTGCAATAAGTAACTTAAAACACCAGTTTCCCGGCAACGGCGCCAAAATTTAGTGGGTGTCAAACCTCCAAAAATAAAGTTAAAAATAACAGCCTAGTTGCCAACCAACACAATCTCAAGTTTAATTTGTAAACAGGGCAAGTAGGGTCGTCTTCTCAAGGAACAGGTAGGCAAATCACACAAGAAAATGGGGGAAAATTTTTAGCAATAGTACCAACTAATTAAAAAGGAATAAAAACGGAAATTCAAAGTTGAGTAAGATAGCAGGAACCAAATTACACAAATAACAATTAATTAAAACAACCTAGTCAAGGAATTAATCTTGGCATCGAAGCACACAACTGATCACAGATATAAGGGACAATTCATATACTCACGAATAAACTGGTTATAGTGGTCAAGCGACGCGCCCAACCACCAATCTTTCCTTAATTTTATGGTAGTCAAAAGACGCTCATAAACTACCCTCTTGTGACTAGACAACCCCAGAAACGCTCACAGGATTTAATGTAGCCACAGCATTAGGAATTAGAAAGACCCAATTCTAGATGACAAACACACATGCGGATTTATTTAGGCTAGATTAATTATCCCCACGATCCAAATTAGACTGCTTGCGAGGCGGTGCAATTGTCTCGTTTGCCACTAATCAAGATGCTTAAAGACGACGCGCCAACATCCTAATTGGCTATCAATTATTTAAACAATCGAATAACAGGCCTAATTATCCAATAAATCTAAACAAAAATAACTCAGGAAAAAATAGAGAATAATCAAATACACATGAACATATAAATTAAAAATAAACAATTAAAACGATCTCACAATTATGGTGCCCCGATCCTTGATTTATTCCTCAACTAGATAAAAGAAATTAGCCTTGCCACATAACGATGAAGCAATTCGGAGTTTTCATGGAGTTTTTGTTGAATGAAAAACGCAGTGAAAAGTTGTGCGGCCGCTCTGCCACAGGAAGGATAAAGCAAAAGCAGAGAAAAAAAAGTCCAAGACGAAGATCCATCCCTAGTCTATTGCTGTCTTCTTTTTATTGTTTGTGCCGCCGTTTCCTTTTTGCTAGCCGAAATAATAGGTGGGTTTCTTCAAACAATTTGCTTCCTTTTCCCCCATTGGATTGTTACCAAAAGTCATCTTCCAATTCTATTTCCTAATCCCACGTAAGTTTAAAGTATGGCTCCAAGGAAAGGCGGTGGCCCCAGGAATAGGACCCGCAATCCGGCTTTTTCACGCAACTCTGCATTGTCTGGCGTGGGCACGCCAGAGAAGGCACAGTCTTCTGGAATTTGCCATTTTTCGTCACTTTTAACACCAATTGCCTATAAGTAACACAAATACCCATTATGAGCAGAAATTCAATACTTTGCATAATAAACTGCCAAAATTAAGACCAAATAACCACAAATAAAATGCATAATTATATCCCTATCAATGCCTCTTGTTTGGACAATGTTTCCATCACTATCTCTCGCTATCATTCCTAACCCAGCTCCTGCTGATTTAGTAGGAATCGCAGCATCAGTGTTTATCTTCATTACCCCTTCGTCTGGTGGCCTCCATTGATGATTTTGCATTTGGTGACATGTTCCTGTCCTGTGCTTTTTTTCATTTTCCACCTGCTCCTCTTGGAACTCCAGCCATTCATTTTTTGCAGTTTCTAGTATGGCCATGTGCTCTCCACGTTTCCCTTCAAACTGTCGAGTATTCCTTGCCTTCCAAATTTGCCAGATGATGTTTGCTGTTAAGCTGATGTGGTCTTCTCCTCTTTGTCTGCTCCTTGCCTCTAATATACCTTCCCACCATCTCCAGAAATTTGATCTCCATTGCAATAATCCATCCCATTGTATTGGGGCCAGCTTTCATATAGGTTCGACATTATTGCAAAAGAAAATCATATGTTCCACTGTCTCCTCCCCCTCCCCACAACATTTGCATAATGGAGAGCCTTTTCCTGTTCTTTTGTGTATCAACTCATTTACAGGAATGCCGTTGTATAGGCATCTCCATATGAAATGTTTTATCTTTGGCTTCATCCTTAATCCCCACAAGCTCTTCCACACTTTTCCTTTATGCTGTGCGTAGCTGGTTCCTTCCTCTCCATGATTTTCCTTGTTTCTTTGGTTGACCTCTTCCTTTTCTACTGCATATCCTGACTTCACAGTGTAATTTCCTGATTTTGAGTATTTCCAATAGACCGCATCCTTTCTGGGAAACAAACTTAATGGCACCTGTAATATTTGTGAAGCTTCCTGCTCTGAGAACGTCTCCTCAATCAGCTTCGTATTCCATTCCCTCTCTATCAACAAGTCTGCCACAGTTTGCAAGTTACAAGCTGGAGGTTTCTGAGTTGCTATTCTCCCGGTTGGTGATGCCATGATCCATTTGTCCCTCCATATGTTGATAGTAGTCTCATCTCCCACTCTCTTCCACATTCCTTTTTTTAGCACCAGTCCAGAGCTGTATATACTTTTCCACACCCATGATGCGTTCTTTGGAGCTTCTCCATCCTAGCTTGTTTGCGCTATTTTGTACTTTGCTCCTAGCACTCTGCTCACTAATAGGTCTGGTTGCATCAATATCCTCCAGAATTGCTTTGCTAACAAAGCACTATTAAAGTGCTCTAGATCTCTAAAGCCCAGACCTCCATTTCCCTTCACCTATGTAATTTTCTCCCAACTTACCCATTGCATCTTCCTATCCTCTTCATTTTGGCCTCTCTAAAATTTTGCCATTTGACCACATATTTCATTACAAAGACCTTTAGGCAACCTACAACATGACATTGTGTAATTTGGTAAAGCCATTATGACTGACTTAAAAAGTACCTCTTTTCCTGCATAGCTGAGTAAGTTGTGCTTCCATCCCTGCATTTTGGATTTTGCTTTATCAACAATGTAGGCGAAAACTTGCTTTTTGATGCTGTTATCACCAGGGGAAGTCCCAAGTATTTGCCACTGTTTGCCTCCTTGATGTTGTTCATCTTTTCACATGTCTGCCTCCTATGTTGTCTGCTACAATTTCTGCTATAGAAAGCAGCAGATTTGTCATAGTTAATGCACTGTCCTGAAGCTAGTTCATATTTTGCAAGTATCCCTTGCATGGCTCTAGCTTCCTGTGGGTGCGCTTTACAACAAAATAAAGAGTCATCTGCAAAGAATAAATGAGATAGCACTAGTCCATTTCTACTCAGTTTGAGGCTTGTAATCTGCCTATCTTCAATTACCCTTGCCATGAGATTAGACAACCCTTCCGAGCAGAACAAGAAAAGATAGGGGGATAAGGGATCCCCCTGTCTAATACCCCTACTAGGTTTCACATACCCCACCCTTTCCCCATTAAAGTTGAAAGAATAGGACACGAAGGACATACAACTCATAATCCATCTTACAAAAATAGGACAGAACCCCATTTTTAACATCATTCTGCCCACAAATTTCCATTCCACTCGGTCATAAGCCTTTGCCATGTCAAGTTTTAAGGTCATAAAAGCAGTATTACCCTTTCTTTTGCTTTTTAAAAAATGCATGATTTCATGGGCCAAAATGATGTTGTCTACAATATGTCTTCCAGGAACGAAGGCAGATTGAGAAGAGCTAATGCACAAAGCGATAACTTTTTTCAGTCTGTTGGCCAAAATTTTTGCTAAAATTCTATAAAGCACATTACAAAGACTGATAGGCCTATAGTTTGCCAGAGCTATAGAGTTTTCAACCTTAGGAATGAGGGTTATGCTAGTCTCATTTATGCTCTTTAAAAGGTGGCCATTGCTCAGAAAACTTTGAATAGCAGACACCACATCAGTTTTAATATCATTCCAGTATCTTTGAAAAAATAAGGGTGTCATACCATCAGGTCCAGGTGCTTTATTTGGGTGCATGGAGAACACGGCTACTCTAACCTCAGCTTCCTCCACAGGTTGTATCAAAGTCTGATTTAGTCTGCTAGTAATTGATACAGGCACCCCTTCCAACACTTCTTCCATGGCTCGTGGCTGAGATGTGGTGTACAGGTCTTCATAGTACCTGTAAATCTCCTGGATGATTTGTTGACTATCTGAACACCATTCTCCATTTCCTTTCTGCAACTTTGTTATCTGATTTCGTTTCCTTCTTGTCTTCACACAAGCATGAAAATAGGCTGTATTCTTGTCCCCTTCCTTTAGCCATTTGCTCCTTGCCTTCTGTGCCCAGAAGATTTCCTCAGCTTTATAGGCACTACTCAACTTTAGTTTCAATTCAGCCATTTCCCTACTTTTCCCTTGAACTGCAGATTCTTTGAGCTCCTGTATCTTCCTTTTAATCTCATTAATCTGTGTAGCTGCATTTTTTTTATTCAGTCTATTCCAACTTAGAAGAGCTATCCGACACTCTCTAATTTTCCTAGTAATCTTGAACATTTTTGAGCCCACCTGTGGTCTTGCCCAGGCCTGCCTCACTACCCCTTCTGCTTCTTGGCTCTGAGCCCATACTTGGTCGAAGACAAACCTTTTTTTCATTTTCTTTTGAGCTGGTATAGTAGACAGCACCAACATTGAGTGGTCTGAAGCCTCATTTTCCACATGTTTGCAGGTTGCATCCCCAAAAATTTGGAACCACTCTGTGCTACTCAGGCATCCATCCAACCTTTGTTTAATCTCCCCCCCCCCATTCTCCCATTGGTTACTCCATGTCCATGGGTTGCCTTCGAAATGTATGTCTACCAGGCTAGCTTTCTGTATAAAGTTTCTAAAGCATCTAAAGCTACCCTCACTTCTTTTCCTACCCCCCCCCCCCATTTTTCTTTATTTGATAGAATATCATTGAAGTCTCCCAACAAAATCCATTTATTCCCCCACAACTTCATTCTTTCCTCCAGCCCTTCCCATTGCACTCTTCTGGTTGCATCATCCGTACTTGGATAAATTCCAATGCACCACCATTCTTCCTTTACTTCCTCATCATAGACCCTCAGCTCGATTGAGCATTCTGAAGTATGGAGCTGTAGTACTTTTACTTCCTTTTTCCACATCATAGCTAGACCCCCAGCTCTTCCTACTGGTTCTACTACTACATTATGATCAAAACGAATTTGCTTCATGATACCATCAATAACTCTTTTTTGATTTTTCGTTTCTGATAAAAACACTACCTCTGGAGAGTGGAGGCGTAATACCTCCTTGAGTTGGGGAACTGTCAAGGGGCTCCCAGCACCTCGACAGTTCCACGCCACAACTCTCATTTACATTGTGGAGGCTTTCTTGGGCTTGCCTCCATTGCCCCTAGTTGTATATGCAAAATCTCCCCCAGTTTCATCATTTTTGGTTTCTGCTCCTCTACCTCATCAATCTCCATCATACTGTCTACCTGATTGTCACCTGCCAGTTTCCTCTTACCTCTCATCTTGGGTTTTCCCATTTCAGTTGTGATATCAGCCAGCGGTTTTCTTGTGACGCATGGCCTTCTCCTAGCCTGTACCCCTCCCCTTGCATTTCTGTCTTGGCCATGCACCGTGTGCTGTTGATTCTCCTCAACCCCTTGTCCCACATTTTTACTCAAATCCCTTTCCTCTTCTCCTTCATCCGTCTCCCTCCTCCTTTTCCTTGTCTTTCCTCATATGGGTATGCAGGCTTGTGTGTAATTGAAGAGAATTAATGGCACTTATTCACCTATTCTTGGATTTGACATTGTTAACACAGTCCATCATGCAACTGTGTCTTGGGATAAAATTCCTAGGACTAAGGAGAATTGGAGGATGTTAGTGAAGTGGGGGATCCCTTCCAGAATTTTGATATAGCATGTATTTGTAGAGTTTCAGGAATGTATTACACGAAGGAGTGTAACCTGATTTCTTGATATTAATAAATTTTACCATTTGTGTAAAAAAAATTTTAAATATTTTTGGATTTGGCTTTTACATACTTTATCTCTCACGATTTTTGTATACCTGTTGGTAGTATTCATGGGATGCTTAAACCTTCTACTTGCTATTGCAAAGTTGCCTAAGTCATTAATAAACATATTTTCGTATTTGATTTTTTTTTTTAAAAAAAAACAGGGGCAGAAAGCTAGACAATTTTATGATTGGCTTCACTATTATGGACCAATCAGACTAATCCTACTAAATTTATTTTTTAGCAGAATATTAATTTGAACAACAAGTGAGAAATATATAACTGAAATCATACCATCCTCATCCAAAAAAAGAAAAAGGAAAAAAAATCTAGCCATCCACACAATTATAACTATTTTGCAGAGCTAATTCCATACCCAAAACAATATAACTTTCAATCTTCAGATCATTAGTGCCAATTCTATGAACAATGAGAAAAAGAAATTATCAACCTTCATTCTATAGATCATATAAATGAGGTTCTTTGCAGAAGCAAGCCAAAACTCCATGCAGCAGCCTATCTGTCAAATCTTGTGAAAGCCAATCTCAACTCCAGCTTTCTCAGCGCATGTTGAGACCCTAAGAAAAGGCCATTCTCGAAAAAGGGGAATTCACAACCTTTGTGCGATAATTTTTTTGAAACCAAACTAAGTAAGTACCAGAGCAGTAAAACGTGTTGTAGCAGATATCAGAGCATCAACTATTTGTTCATAGCATCAAGAAGTTAAAGAACTACTTATACATCATGTTCAAGTATTACTGATTTCCTTCTTATGTTTGATTCATTGCTTTGAAGAAGTTAAATTTCATATATGTTACATAAGAAAATCTTGTTGAAGGTTTCATAATAGTAAGCCACATAGGGAAGGATATTGCCTTCGAAAAAAAGGTACAAGAGCTACACTAACAACTTGGGAAAAGAACAGATATCTTACCAGAACTTGGTTATAGTGCTTAAACTAACATCCAGTGATCTCATCTTTGTTTTTTAGCCTGCCTTGCAGCTGGGGCCTCTCGAATCCATTATTAGCAGTTGGTGAAATCAGACTTTCAGCATAAACACAGGCATCAAATGTCCTAAACAGGACATCCCTGAAGCAAGTATCCTTAACATTGTAAAATGCCAAATTCGATCCACAGATCACTTAAACTTCATTGTGTTCTAATAAACAGACAAGTTTAGAGACCATATGCCTTGGGGGTCTATTACATGGGATGCAAAACTTCTTACTCCAAGACTTTCTGATCCCATAATCCTTCATAACCCATACTTGATACTTCTGTGTGTTCATGATCTTGGTGACGAAGCAAGCAAAGGCTTCCTTGAAAAACATCCAATCTTGCATTACAAAACACATCATAATCCAGTTTGTCCACTACCCAATATGTCTCTGTTGCTAAATCTAGGGAACTAATAACGATTTTATTTTCTTCATGGTAAGACCAATGGAGCTTCCCTCTTAGAAATTTACTAGAGTTCTCCATTGGAAGACAACTACCTGGAAAT